GTTCAACAGAATAGAAGGGTGGTTGTACTTCAAATCATAATGTAAATATAATTATACTGTACATCTAGGAAATATGGGCTAAATAATTTAATGAAGAAATTAGGAAAACACAAGGAGGACTGCATTCTACAGATAATTATAAAAAAGCTGATTTGAGGTACTAGTGCAGCTGAACATTAGAATAGTATTATAATAATATATATATATATTTTCATATACTATGAAATTAATATATGATGATATATGATGCGAATACCTGGCAGCTCTTGTTTAAAAATAGTTCATGCAGATATCTGCGTCAGCATGTGTAGGCTTCAAAGGAACAAGTAAAGGTTTATTCCATGCTGAAAAGAGAAGAAAAGAAACACAACGTTTCGACTGTGGTGCCTTTTTCAGGTGATATCTTTTCTTCTCTTTTCAGCATGGAATAAACCTTTACTTGTTCCCTGGCTTAAAATGCTGACATGTACACTGTCTTTCTTCAAAACTGAAAAAAATAATAATTTAAATACACTTGAAAATATTCCACTTCATTTGGTAAGCCTCATGAACAATGTACTCAGGATCATTTTCAAAGCTCATGGCAAAATTAGGCTTAATTTCATGAAAGTGTTTTATAAATCAAATGTGATTGCATTTTCAAAGATAATTTCTTGTTGGCCTTGTTAAAACATCTGGAGATAATCCTAAACCCTTAATTATGTGTACGGGGTATTACTTTGGCAATGTCCTTGATGGGCTTTTTAAAAGCTACTCCTAAAAGCTAAAGAACTATCTTCAAGGATAAAATAACTGTGTTGACATCTACAAAGGCCTGATGAAAATAGAGGCTTTGTTGATTGTAAGCTTTTGAAATTAATCACATCCTTCCAAGTATTCTTCCTTCCAGGTTAAATCTCTGACAGCTGTTTGTCTTAAAGGTATTTTCCAGTCTTACTTTTCTTTTCAATAGGAGTTTCAGAGCACTACTTTCCACAGTAAATGCTATCTTTTTTACTTTTTAATATACTGGGCATCCTCTAAATGTACCCAATGTTGTACATTTAGTGGAGTCACTGATATAAAATAGATTCAATAAAAAAAAGCTTAATTATTCTTCCAAATGACAGAATGGGTTCAACATAAATTCTACAGAACATTCCTTACAACCAAGTATGTAAGATGAGCTGAGGGACATTTCTTGTTTGTATATTTTTTATTCTCATAACACATTTATGGCATACGTTAGAAAAGTGGAATAGTCAGCACACTTTCAAGTGCAATTGTGTCCTGTTTTTTGCTTTAATCTAGCAAAAAACACCTGTTCCTGATTTACTAGGTCAGATATGTAAATAAACGAATTCCTTGAAACTCTTGTACCCATACAAAACAACAGCTACATAAAACAAAATACTAACTCATGTGGCCTCATTCACTAAAGGTATAAACTGATAAACTGATTAATATTCAGCATCCAAACTAAGATATGTTTGAAAATGGAAGATACACATTAACATACAAATATTATAAAATACATGATACAATTATTCAAAGACTGTGAAAAGGTAACACTAAAGAGGGTATACAATTCCAATCAAATGTAGTATATCATTGATTGGTAACAATTGACATCTGACATCTTTTATAAAGTTTCTTTTCCGGACAAAGGATTTTTGCTTCTCATGGAAGCATTTCTTGCAAAAAGAGAAAGGTACCATTCTTTAAGGGAAGCAAAAAATTGTCCAGAACCTTTCTTTCGTTTTCAGACTTGTCTGTCAGTTGTAAACCAGTGCAAAGTCACCAAATTATAACATTTCAGAGTGCTACAAAAAAGGAATTGTAGGAAAATAATAGCCTACAGTGCATATTTATGCAGCAACAAAGGATAGTGCCTTTTGATGCTTGGAAAAATATATTATGAATAATACACTTCATAGATAAATAATTTAGAGACTTTTTAACATTCATAACATACAATAATTTATTTTTCATAAAATCCTGCAATTTTTTTTACTCTCCTCGAAACAATGGCTTCCTTCCCCTGTAGCTCCTACACTTCCCCACACTTCCTTAATTTCTGCTCCTTTCCCTATAATCAGTGGTCCTTAAGTATGATGTCATTTCCTAAAGAAATCATACATATCTCTAGATGCACCTTATAGAAAGTCACGCCTGAGCTAATTGTTGACATGTACTTTAAGATAAGGTGTGTGATTATGATAATAATTGCCACACCATGCATTCTAAGAGATGGCACTCACTTTAGTAAATACCACATCACTTATACTTTTAAGATGTGTTATGGAGTGAAGTTAACAATTATTGTACATACTTTTAAGATACTCATATTTCTTAAAAAATACTACCGGTACTGTCCTGTTAACAAATAAGGTACATCAAAAATGTTATATGAGTAAGTAATACAGAAATGACACAATAGTGAGAATCAAACATAAAACATTTGAACAAAATCTCTTCTTCCGTTTAAAAAGCAAAAAAGAAATCCAGTTATTGGTTCTTGAAGCAAGTGTACAAAGCAGCTTGGCAAGCCAGGCCTCTGTTTGTTCAGGTTTGGAAAAAGAAAGTACAAAGTACAGTAGTTACTTGGGCCTTAGTCTGGACTCTGTGGTGGATGATTTAACTAACACTATCACTCTCTGATAGCAGCCTGGCTAAATTGTGTCTTGTGAAGTGAAGCATTGTTGTGAAACAACAACACACCAAAAGCTGACCTCTCATGCCATTTCTGAATGGCATCTCTTAGTTTTTGTAATGTGTCAGCCTACCCCTGCCATATTATTGTGGTTCTATGAGGCATGTAATTAAGTCGGAGAATTATTTCAGATTCCCCCAAAAATGTGTCCTCTATCCTTCCAGCTCTGCTAATTCCCTTGGAAATTTTTGGAGGTGGTGAACATTTGTGTTTCCACTGCAGATTCCTGTTTGGTCTCTGGGTTCCGGTGATGAATCCAGGTTTCATCTCCAGTCCTGATCTCTGGGGATAAAAAAGCATTGTGGCTTCACTTTAAATTGGTCTAAATTCTTGTGACAGTATTAAGCTTAGGTTTGGTTTGGAAATGACATTGGCATTTTCTCAAGACTTCATGAGAACTGATAAAGTATATCAAGCTATAACCAGGCTGAACCAAAAGTCTAAAGAATGACAGCGTTTATGTCACAAAGTACTGTATCTGCTTAGCTTTAGTCTTTTCATTGAGTACAAGAGCCAGGCTGCTGACCTGCACCTATTAAATTGATCACATCTGTATTCACACTCCTGTGCTGAGACTTTGCATTGAATGGCTGTGATTGTAGACCTAAGGTAGCAACAATATACAGTAACATCTAACATCCGTCACAGTTCAGGACCCATCTAGCTTCAAGAGCAGCTCACTGCAAATGTACTAGGTCATTCATTGAGATTTGAGAATGCAGACTTAGTGGTGGTGTGTAGGGACTATTTAAAGTTGGCTAGACACAGGACATTTAGTTGCTATGCTCCCCATGTTTGGACCATTTTTGGAATTCCATCCCACTTCTCATGAGAAACTCTGAGACTCCAGATTGTTTGAAAAGCAAATTTATGTCATTGGATGTGCTTTTGAACTAGTTTCATATAGGTTGTTATTTCTGATCGCAATGTAAGAATTAAATTATGATGTAATTTCACGTTAAAGCCGCAAAGCAATATCTATCCATCCATTAGCATTATTCCAGGTAAGGCAAGGGATGAGTCAGCTGGATGTGGAAATATTGCAAGGCACATACTGTATGTGTACACATTCAAGACCCACCAACCTACCTACTGTAGCAAGTGTATTGTTCTAAAGTGGGTAGTAAGATAAGCAACTCTACACAGTAATCATCCTAGTCTAGGGACTCAGGACACTAGGGCTGTGATGCAGTAGCCCTGACCATCACATACTGGTGTTTGCTGAAAGTATTTTTAGTGTGATAAGGAATTACCAGGATTTTGATGCAGAATATGTTGGATTTTTTAAATATAATGTATATTTTAATAAGGCAGCTCGGTGGCGCAGTGGTTAGCATTAATTCCTCACAGTGCTGGGGCCCTGGGGTCATTACCAGATCTGGGGTGCTATCTGAAAAGAGTTTGTATGTTCTCCCTGTGTTCACATGGGTTCCTCCAGGTGCTCCTGTTTCCTCCCACAGTCCAAAACCATACTGGTAGGTTACCTGGCCTCTGGGAAAATTGGCATTAGGTGAGTGTACGGTACATGTCTGTGTTTATGTCAGTCTGCCCTGTGATGAACTGACGTCCTATCCAGGGTGTACCCTGCCTTGTGCCCGTTGCTTACTAGGATAGGCTTCGGCTCCCCTGAATTGGAAGAAACTGTTAGAAACCAGATGGATGGATAAATTAATAACAGATGCAGTCTAAACATAATAATTATACCCATGGACTAAGGGGTTACACAGCACATTGTCCTCATTTCATACTGTTCAAGGGTCTCCAGAGGTTTTATCTTCAGACCCGTCTAGAACAGAGGTTAAAACCATTTTAAACAGCAAATATAAACTGAACCCTGCTTCACAAGCTCAAGAACTGTATGCTGTTGCTTTAAATATGAAATATATATAAGTGGTTGTTAGTATAATTATTATTCTTTAGGGATGAAATTTGCTTAAGTCATTTGAAAATAATTTGCTGACAATAAAATAAAAGGAAGCCTCTCTTGTATTGTGAAATCCCCAAAATGGGAGTTAGTCATTAGAAAACACTAGCTTTATTTATGGGCTACAGTAATAATTATGGAGAGCAAAGGCATTCACGACTGCTATTCGTATACACGATTTTTAATTTTAAGAATACAGAAAGCTTCTTTTAAAACGTTAAGGGGAGAAGGAGTCACTGCGTTTGTTTTTCTTTTAAAAAAAGTACGCTGCACCTATATGCGGTAGAATTTTAGAGGCAAAAAAAAATCTGCAACTGGAAATTAACATCAAGTGGGTTGGGCACGGTTTTCTTCCCTTTTTCCCTAACTATAAGTATGGAAACTAACTTGTCCAAACCTACTGCACTTGGAAAGAGAGATGGGTGTTAGCAATCTGAGGTCGCAGACAGCTATGAAGCTTCATGTGGTAAGTAGTATCTGATAGTTCTACTCTGATTGCATTTAAGATTGGACCATACTTTTAACAGTATTTTATCACGTTTTTTCAAGTTGCGTATTCTTCTGTTTTCTAAGAGTTTAGTGGTTCACATCAGAATGCCTTGATGAGAGAAAGTATCTGTACCGCAAGGATTTATTATTTTAAGTGTGTAAATACTGTACATCCGTAACACAGATCTGTAGTAGAAATGTCTGTTTGCAGTGGAGCAAGTATTTAGATTCAGGAAATCGGAAAAAAAAGCTAATTGGAAAGAGAGTCATGGTATTACTGTGATGGGCTGTTTAAATTAAATACTTTGCTGCATAACGTTGCTAAATGGTAAATATAACAGTAAGTAGTAAGGTGTACTGTATGTTAAATATTTAGAGCTAAACTACAGAAAAGTGAATCATACCGTAGATAAGCCCAAGCTACTTTAAGAGACCCCCGTTCATAATTGGGTAATGTATTTCAAAAGTAAGACAGGTTATTTTTTCATTTACAGTACAATGACTAAATTGTTGTTTCTCCATCTCAAGTCTTCGGGCATTGCAGATTTGTTTCTAAATAAACGGAACTCGATATTATCATTATTATCATGATGTTACATTATAGATCAGGTTCTCGATGTAGTTTTACGCTTTTTTGTAAGCGGGTGGTTTGCATTTCAAATGACCTAAGGTGGTGATGGTAACGGATCAAGAGTATAATGTCACCGTATTTTAATATGTATTATTACGCCCTGTGCCAAAAAAGTTATCACCTCTCACCACACAGCACAGACAGTCGCTCCATCACAGAATGAGGTGTAGGTTGCTGTGAGCGAGTCAGACTTCCCACAGAAAAACCCGAGCACACACATTAAAGATTGTGGTTAGTACAAGAGAAAACAACTTCGCATTGAGAAATCCAGAAATCCAGCTGAAAATAAAAGTAATGGTTTACGGAGGGAAGCAGCAGATAAACAGTTCATAAGAACAAATGACTGGTACAACTAATTATATATGTTTGCAGATTATTTTCTTTTTAAGTTTGTTGTTTAGAAAGACAGTATGAGACACAAAAAATAAATTAATTGCCTTACAACCAGAGCGAGGTTTTGGTCTACCTTGGGAAAGGTGTATTGAAAACCACAGTAAAATGGAGCAAGGAAATTGGGGTGAATCAAGGCCAACCTCCCAGCAAGGCAAGACACAGGGTGCGATGATGAGCAACATGAAAGGTATATTTTTTAAGAACTGAAACACGATATAATCTAATAATCAGTGCAGTCATATGTGCAGTCAAGTTGGCTGGTCCAGAGTTATTTCAAGGTAAATAGTATAGACAAAGATTTTTCAGTTTAAGTATATTTTGGTTCCATGGTACATATAAGCTATGCGGCATCATATACAATACATAGCATGAATGATTAATGAAGGTTATTATGTCAATAAGGTATTCACATTGTAGAGTGCATCTGTTAAAATGTACTGGAAAATGTGTTTATTACACAACTATTTTAAATGAAACAGTACTGGGGACATGATCATGCTGTTTGTTGCAGTTGGCTTCTTCAAACCTTTGAGATAAAAAGAGGTAATAACTTCCCACATGTCAGTCAATCTAAAAGTCAGTTTAAAAACCATGTAATGTACAGAACCTCGGGGCACATTACACACATAGTACTGTTGTTCTCTGGATGAAACAGAATAAACAAGAAGTAGAACTTGTTCCCTGTTTAATTCCATTGGATAACTGAAATGGTAGTATTCCGTTAGGCAAAGTTTAAGTCTCAGTGTTTTTCAAAAAGGAACAAAAAGTTACTGAAGGAAGTACACTATTACAACTTCCTCATTTTGTCCAAAACAAAAGATACCAATCTTATATGTAATCCAGTCGTGATGTTTTCAGCACAGAGAAAAAAGTCCAGATCCACAAATGTTAATAAAAATGTCAAGGTTTCTAGTGCTCATTCATACTATGAAAGGGAACCACTGTAACAGTTTCTGTATATCTTTCTGTATATGTATAATGATTTGCTATTACTGTTTCAGTCCATTCTAATCTAATCTAACGAATCAATCTAGAATAAAGAAGCTAATCTTGTTTATGAACAGATACTGTATGTTATGGATGAACTGAAACTGAGAGGTATGATAAATTTCAAAATGCTTCTGTGCCACATCAGTGAGATCGGAGTCTGTCTGGTGTATTTGTTTGCTAATCCCACCATCAAGGCCACCAATGAAAAACCTTCTCAGAATCCAAAAAGTAAATAAACACGCTATGTGGGCTGAATGGGTTCCTCTTATTTGTAAAAGCAGCTATGTTCTTATGTCATTTCAAAGGTAAATCAACAAAAGGGAAATATGTGGCATGCAAAAGATGGATTAAGAAAAAAATAAATTATGTAATTGAAAAATGAACAGTAGATGTCATAAATATTCCAATGCAAGAACAAATATTTACAGTAAATGAATGTATATAAATACTTCTTTATCTCTTACACATACAGTATAATACACTGTATACTTAACAGATATGAAAGAGAGATTAAAATTACCCTTATTTACATGATGGGGTGAACAATCACATTTTTATCTGAATTGCTTGTTTGTCAATAATACTGGTATTAAATTACACTTGATTCTCATAACACATGCAAAGCAGGAATGTTCTGTGATAAAGATGGTTTATTGATGGTAATAAATTGGAGTGCATTAGTATGGAATCTAATTCTTTGTGGTCCTCCATTCTTTTAAACAAAGGACAGAAAAAGAACATATATTCTTTGCTACAGTATACTTATACAAAGAACATTAAATTTGTATATGTATTACACCTGATCAATACAATGATCGTCACATGATCAATACATGTCACAATAACAAGAACCTTGGCATCTGGATTATCATTTTAAAGGAGAAATGATTAGGACGAGTCAAATGTTTTACATTTCATTTGTTTCGGAATTCATGATGTAATGGTTTGTAATTGTGTTGCTCCGCTACCAAAACAATGCTGTTGCCCCCTGTTATTTTTTTTCCTCGTGGCAAGCATGACCAGTGTGGTACATTAGTCGTTATAGTGTATATTAGAGGACAACATGACTGTAGGTGGTCCGGCCTAAATATGGAATCTTGTCTTTGAAGCCATACAGCGTATGGTGGAAAACAAGCACTGGTCTCATCTGCAAATGATTTAAAACTTTAGTGGTTTTAATTATGACATGGAAAGAGCTATTGTTCCACATAATGTCGGCCCCCCCAAGATGTGCAAAGCTTGGTGATAAAAGGCATTTCCTATTCCAGGCAATGTTAAACGTTTGAGAGAAAGTGTCTGGAAGCAGTACAGCATATCTGAAGTTATTTTTCTGAGCATGCTGTTGCAATACCTTAATAGAGCATCTGCCCAGTGCATAACCTTGGTCTCTAACTTCATGCATGCTGAATTCCACCCTCCTTGTCTCTGCACAATTCATTTTTTCCCTGAGCAATTGGAGGAGTGAATGGGTATTGGAGGATAATTTCTTGCTTCACTAGTGGACTGTAGCCAGAACTCCAGAAGCAGCAGCTCCCAGTTGGCTAAGGGCCTCTGAGGGAAGGGTACTGTAGGTTTAATCAGACAGGGCTGTCTCTGTTTCTGTTGATCACCCCCTGTGACCTCCTGGGCTCTTGCAAGCAAGTGGTGCTTTCTGTGAGGGACACTCCTCCCTTCCAGCTGTCGGTCAACCTCCCGTACGGGATCGTGCTTCCCGGCTCGAAAAACTGAGCGGCTCCTCTCAAAGGTGAGAGGGTCTGCCCATACTTCCGTATTCCCCCCATCCTCCCTACCGTTTGCTGGAGACAGGAATTGCAAGCCAAGACTAAAAAAACAACCACTGGCAACTCAAAATCGGATAGTGCTAACAGGAAAATGCACGCAATTGCACATTTCGACAAAAGACAGTTTCTTGAAATTCAGTAGTTAATTTTTAATATCCATTCCAGACATTTATTAACATTAATCAGCACTTTACTAAGAAGTTTTGCTTCATGGTACTTCATGATACCACTTAACTGTGAAATCAACAATTTGAAGGAATAACACTCAGAAAGGACTGTTACTATCATAATTTCAGCTTTCATAATTTCACTTTATTAAGAAACAATGGTGAAGTGAAGTGCTCACATACAGTACAAACTAAGAAGAATCAAAGTCAAAGTTCTATATAATTTCCAGAAGAACATAAAGATATAAAATGTTTATAAAATTAGTTATCCTATTTTAACAACAATTACACGTCATTAAGACCTTACACCACAGAACAATATAATTTAGTTTTTGTATACACTGAACCTGTGTGATATGTTCCACTGGACAATTACAGTTTAAACTAAACAGCTTCATGCATCTACAGTATGTATCATGTCCTTCCATGCATGTAAGCCATCATACACAAGTGATGACTGTCCAATATCACACCAGTAGATTGTAGCAATATTGTCAAAAGGAATGTGTTACCCATCTTCCATAGTACTGTGTTCACACTACAACAGTTTGTATAGGCTAGCTGAAGGTATAGGCACCATTTACATTGTCATTACCCAAGATTGCCTCATCCCAAGACTCTGAAATAATACCCAGAGCATTAAATTAAATATTTTATCATCACCACACCCTGCAGACCACCCTGTTCCTCCCCATTCCTTAATACTGTAAGTCATGAAAAGGCTTTTAGTGTTGCAAGCCCAGCCCGGCGAGCCTCAGCCCCACCCTGGCCCAGTTCAAGGGCGGGAAGGCGGCTTACAAAATGAGCTAGGTGACCCAAATATTCAGTCCCTTGAATTCTGAGGAATGAGGTAGTTGTCTCATGTTGGATCCCCTGGGCCCTGACTGAAGAACATTAGACTCCCCTCAACTGTGATTTGAACCCTGTATGACCCGAGGCTTATAAAAGTGAATTGTTGGAATCTGATTTACGCTGATGCCTCTTGGCACATGAGAACTAATTATGTGGAATTAGCTTTAAAATTTCGTTTAAAACACATTCCACTATGCATCGAATTGGATCAGATGAAATTGAATGAAGTTCAGGGTCTTGTTGTTATTAAACACCAATTGGTTTGTGCAACATAGCCTGGAATAATCAATCATTCAGGTATCAACACAGATAAAGATCACATGGACTCAAATCAGATGATATTAGGATCACTTAGGTGTTCTACCAAGAATATCAAGGGTGTTGTTGGAAAGAAAAGTCATGCTGTAAATAAGGTCTCATAAATAAAGCTTTAGTTGATATTCTATTAATCAAGAATTTTCTATAAACTGAGGTTCTGTGAAGTAGTAATAAAGCGTCCATAAGTATTCAGTGTTGATGATGTTAGGTTAGGATTAGTGTGACTGTTCGGGTTAGTATCAACACTGCTTAGTGTCTAGATGCTTTATTAAAATTATAGAGAGGCAAATTAGACTTAATAGAATATCAATATAATCTTTTAATGCAAACTCTTATTTATATACAGAACAGTAATAGTAAAAGGTTTAGAACGGACACTTATTTGTACAGCATTAGATTTATGCTCTCTCTGAAGGTGGACACTTTGCCCAGTCAGAAATGAATCCTCATGTAAATAGTTTTCTGTAATGTAAGCTTTGTTTATTCATATTATCTTGAATGCAAACTGTTTTTCTGTTATGCAAAACTCTTTTATGTACTGTATGTTATCTTTTGAATACCTACAGTATACCTTTTGTACCTACATTACATGATCTGTACATCATAAACACCCTGTGAAACGTTTGAATGTGCATAGAGGTCATATGAATATAAATAATCAGATTCTTGAAATATTGCATATACTATACGTTATAAACTTTGTTTTCTAAAGACTAGCCTTTCCACTTTTTGCTGTGGATCTTTCAGAAAACATAATTATAGTTGATTCAAGGTCTAACCTAAGATGTTGTTGTGGTTGCACTCTGTCCACAAAGGAAAACTGTAATGGTCGGAAGGTCAAAAGTTAATCTTTTCTTATCCTGAAGTGAATACATCATGCTCCAGGAAGAAAACAACATGATTAAATAATTGTTTTAATAAATAAGTTAGTTTGGGACATTTAACTCTAATAGAGCATTTGAAGGTTGCATTACTGGACTCAAGCCAATAAACGTCACATCAGAGAAAACTCATTTTCTCTGTGTGTCTTCCTAGCTGAAGAAGTACTCTGAACATTTTTTTTCATGCTGTCAAGATTTCTGAAGCATGTTTTAGAGGGATTGACCGGAGGTTATAAGTGCTCATTTCAGTTTTACAGTACTTTAAAATATTTTCTTTATCTTTCCAGCTTTTTGCCATCTCCTTTACCTGGGCTTTTCATGAGGTACCTGTACCAAAGTATCAGCACTGGGATCCTGTAGCATCCCAGTTTTATGTGTGTGACCAGTGCCCACCTGGTACAGCTTTACAGGAGCATTGCAGTTCCACCAGACCGACTGTGTGCTCACCTTGTCCTGAACACCATTTCTCTGAACACTGGCATTGGGATGACAAGTGTCAGTATTGCACTACTGTTTGCAAGGAGAAACAGAGAGTTCGGCAAGAGTGCAACAGCACACATAACCGAATCTGTGAATGCATCGAGGGCTATCATCTTGAAATCGAGTTCTGCGTTAAACACACTGCGTGTCAGCCTGGATTTGGCGTAAAGATTCCAGGTATGTATATGTTTTTTATTAGGTGCCACCTAATTAGAAACTGCAGATTGTTTGACTTTCTGGTATTATTGGTTCTACCACACTGAAGGGAATGAGAAACATGGGCTTGCCTCTTTGTCGCACCAGCCAGCTCTCACTGGTATCTCTGCAAGCCTGCAGCCACCTGACAAGCTACAGGAGATGGTGTTTGGAAGGAAGGCAGGCAACGAAACCACTAGCTGGCTAATGCTAACTTCAGCCTAAAGAGTCTCAGGCTTACGTTTGGATTGTACAGTTCAGCTGGTGTTCTTATTGGCTGAGCTACTCAAAAGCCCTCCAATATCCAGCCATACAGTATGTCTCACATGGTTGTCTTCCTGGAAAGGGTCATGGTATCTGCGGTTTGTGACTAAGTAATTTGTTTTTAAATTCCGTCCTTCCTGTTTCAATTGGACATTAGATGTTTATTAAGCTACAGGTTCGTGGTGACCTAGAGCCTAACCTGGCAGACAATGGGCACAAGGCAGGATACACCCAGGCAGACCAGTCTATCACAGAACACACACACAGGAGCGGTTCAGAGATGCCACTTAATCTAGACAGCATTCTTTTGGAGTTCAGAAGGCTACCGGAGTGACAGACAAGAACTCATGGCCATAGAGAAATCAGGGCATACTCCTTCACACAGAGGGTCACAATCAAACTCCACACTCAAGGCCTGTGAGGCAGCAATGATAACCATATATCATGATGCCCTTTTCCCAACAAGTGATTCTATAATCACAATTGTTTCTGCTCTTTAGAATCTGCTTGTGACATCAGCGACCCGACCTTAGTGAAAATAGTGCATGAGTTGTATCTCCACATTTAGAAAGCAAACATCAATTTAACATGAAAGACATTAGTCATATTTCTTCAAATAAGTGAGTATTACGTCCAAATGTCAGATAGTAGGTCTCATGAGGTGAATTACACAATGGAGTATGTGTTGTGAAGTACAAGACAATAGCTGAGCTGACCATTCCAAAGGAATGGAGTAGAGTATGTGTAAGCTTTTCTAATATGAAATATTGTACTCAAGAGGACTTTCTTTTGCATGACGGGTAGGAAAAAATTGCACAAAACCTCTAGTATGTCCTTCTGAAACCAATGGATGAATTAACTGTGCAGATTTAAAATGCTTCCTTTCCCAGGGGAAAAATAATATCTAATTTTGTTGGGTTAGTTAATGTCTTTGAAGAATTTGCTCACACTACAATTTGTAAAATAAGAACATCATGGTATTCCTAACTGGTAATGGAATATATTTTGAAGATTGTCTTACGGTGATCCTATGTAGAAGCATTTAAATCTGTGTTAGAGTATTGTCATATGGTACTTTTTTACCCACTCCATTGAGTAAAGCAAAAAAAGGAAGATTTTCTGACTATTTGGTATATGGATATACAGTATAGATATATAGATGAGCTCTTTTGGAAAGATGTTTAGGCTCTACTTTTAGCATTAGTTTTATTGTTTTGCACTTAGAAGGACATATATTAATATAATAATGGAAAATACCTATTAGTAATAACTATTTTAAATAGTTCTTAGTTCTTAGGTCAATTTCTTGGCTTTGTTCTTAGGTCAGTTTCTCATTGAATAGATTCCTGTGTTTTCTCATTTTACCTTGCACAAGCATTTTATATACATATACAGTAACTTATGTAACCCAAGTATTCTGTGTCCATATTGCATTCTGCAGTAGCTTATTGTTTTTTTTTTTAAATTTTGTAAATACAGGATATTATTGTGGTAAAATACAGTTGGTCCTGGAGGTTCAACAAAATCTGGAAGATGAGGTTTGTAACACAATAGTAAATAGATGTATTCACATTTGAAGTAAAAAATGTTTGATGTGTTAAGAAATAACATTTCGAATGGATATTTATTAAAAACCACCATTGTGGTTGGCCAAACCCTAAGGAGATTTCTGTGTCATGACTGCCGGAGAAAGATGTACTGTATATCAAGGATGAGACCTGAAAAGACAGGTAACATCATCCATTTTCCAAAGAACTTATATTATATTTAACACTTGCAAATGAATTTATTGGAAACCCTAACAAATTTAACTTATTTGCTTATATTATGCCTACTGATAATGAAAAGTAGTGAGGGGTATTATTTAGATTATATACACTACCATTAATATTAAAATATAGGTTATCACTTTGGCAATTTAATTTTATACTGTTGATGACATTATAGAGCAGGTAGTGAGTTTTGAAATAGTGTAGTGATACGAGGTTGGAAGCTTTGTGGCTGTGGGTAAACATTTTAGCAACACATTGAGTTAGACAAAACTCTTAACTTTGTACATACTGTTTATTCAGAGTGTTTATTATTAGAGGAACTAAATGTCTTTACCAATCTAAGATAAATAGTTTGTGACAGGTGTTCATGGTGAGACTTCTGACATGTCTCATGAAAGAGTGGAAATCTGTTCCTGCTCCATTTTATAAGAAATACAATAAGCAGATGTACAATTTCCCATCATAATACAATAAGTGCATACAAGATGTTGGGACAAACAGAATAATCTCTCTTGCAATAACTTTAAAAATGACCAAAATCTCATCATGTGCTATTTATTTTTAATGATCTTTCAGAACTAATGAAAATTATTCTAAAAGGCCGATAGACTTTTAAAAATATTGTAAAGACAGTTTAAAAATTAATAATGTAAGGCAGGGCTTCTGACAAGCCACTGTGGTTCCTGTTACCAGCTATTTATTTTATGAGCTGTCTTTCTCTATTATTTGATGTGTGGTTTACATTTTTACATAATGTTACATGTTTTGGTAATGTTACATTTTTGGTAATGGACAGGCAGTGAACATAGAGTAGTTTATGTATTGCTTCTGAAGACAATTAAAGAATATTTACAGTTCACTCAGTATATCCTGTTTATAAAACATAGTTTGAATCTTGGCTAAAAAACTGGATTATACTAATAGCATCTGAACAATAACAACTGGTAGTAATTAGCTACGTGCCAGGATAAATTAGATGTGGTTATTAATCAGTCAGGATTACACAGTAGTTAGCATGCCAAGCTGTCTGGCTTATATACATGTTTAAACACCAATGCTAAATTACATAAATGTATAACATCTTTGTCATCTTCCTAACACTTAATGTCTTTCTTCTGTTATTTTCATCACTCTGTGAAGTAAGTTTGTGTCATTTTTTCCAGAGCTGACTAGGGCCTGGATTAAATCTAGACTCCGATCCACCCTCCACTTGCAAATCCTGAACCTAAATTCTGATGGCAGCGTTCCATTGGAAAGGCACAAGAAGCCTCTGGCAATAAGGAATCAGTCATACTTCATTTAGAGTTTGCGACTGGGTTCCATTTAATGCATACCTGCCATCCTAAAATAATGAACTCTCAAGAGCCGTATTGTAATTTGGTAGAATTTGATCATAGTTCCGACACTGTGCAAAAAGAATGAGTGAAAGTGTTCTCAGGAAACAGAGGTTAAAAGTTGAGCCAATTTGTTGTGCATCTCATGGGACAACAACTCTGAGGATGTACTGGATGCTGGGAAGGTTCCTTTTGTGTCTGTGGTGTTTTGTTCACGTTTTTCTTAAAGAAGGAAGCGCTCCAAAGTTTAGATGTCTGTGATAACAGCAAGGTCTGAGTGGCAGGACATGAAGGGCCATCTGTCACTATTTGATTATGAGGCCATGCATAACCTTGTGAAGTAGCAGCAGAAATGTATGGATCTACAAGGGAATTGTGTTTAAAAAACTACACAGTCTTTCTTATTTGTGAGGGTATTTGGTAGATAATTTACAAATTGACTTAAACTCATATTTATGGGTAGTTTATTAAAGTCATGTTTTTCATGGTCCCTTAGGCAGTTTTAATTGTCTGGGAGCTGCTGATTAGCTTAACAAGGGAAGGCACTGGTGTACAGTGCATGTTGAGAACCATAGCCCACAGATATGTTGAGGTCTACACCGTTAACTGGCTGCAACTGGGATTCCCCATGTGGTACCACACGATTGGGCAAGTTCCCCTGAGGCTGTGAGTCAGCTAGGGTATTCTAGGCTCACTGGAACAGCAAACTCTCTGGCTTGCCAAGCACCAGTTAGCTTGCAGTGTTGTTAGCCAGAGTAAGGTCCCTCCTCCAGTCTTCTGTGGCCACAGTGGGGCTTTCAGTGTGAAAAATGGCACGTACTGTAGTTCGGACAGAGCATGTCTTGAAGACAGATGTGCTGAGGTCTTTATCTTTATCCTTCCTGTGCTGGAATGAGTTAGTCAGCAATTAGAAATCAAATTGAATATGATTTTCTCTTTATCCACAAACCCATTAATTATCAAGCTTTAACAAACATAATCTATTATATAAAGGAGAAATAATACTGTTCAGTCTTTTACAGATATTGCTGTAAAATGCCTGCAAAATGTATTATGTCTTAATGTATTACAGGATCTAAGATCTTTTCACTTTTCACTCTGACACTATTGGCATTATTGACATATAATATCAGATTTAGTTCATAAGGGCATATTCATCAACTTTATTGTGGTAAATTGATTTACAGTTAATACTTGGAAAGAACAAATGATCTTTTAAATCACATTAGCTTTTTGGAGAAGTACTCTTCATGGGAACCTGTCCAATAATTCTATGAGTGTGAAGATTTGAAATTGATGTCAATTTCTGTCAAGTTATTGCTGCAACAAATTATATTTGTGGTTTAATGTGAATTTGTGGGGTAAAGTGCTCTGGGTACCCCACTATAGTTTGGGTTCTGTTATACACTTTAATGTCTGATCTGTGTATTTGTATCTTATTGATTAGAAGTGGCAAATCACCATAAAACATCATGTTGAATATATAGTTTTTAAGAGCATTTTGAGAAAATGCAGAGGCTTTTAGGATCAGCAGATGGCGCAGTATCACTGTGATTATATATATTTGTTTGAGAGTGGGATGAGGTGTAGCGATGATTATTACTGCCATTTTTGCAAAACAACATGCAACCACACAGGATGTAAGACAGAATGTACAGCTACCCATAGCAGTAATCACCATACAGCTAAGATAATAAAAGAAACAAAAATCTGTTTTTAAAGTTTAGAGAAGAAATCCTTTATAATTTTTTTAATTCTTTTATTTTTATTTGTTCTTTATAATGGAGTTTCCAATAAATTCTCCCTCGTGGCACATATCCATTATAGCCCATTTTAGGAAGTCAGATGCTTCTTCATTTATTGGTTGAGGAAAGAGGTTTTGAATCTCATTCTGTAGTTTCAGAATATTCTGTCTCTGGGTGACTTACACTTTATTGTCCCTTCTGGAAAGTTTGTGCAAATGGGGACATATCATCAATTCAAAAATCAGACAACCTCATTAATGGGATACAGGCTGTGTTTTGTAACAGGCCCCTGCTATTTATTATTATCATTTGCTTTTCTACAGCACATTTCATACCAAAGTATCCCGAAGCTTTGCAGATATAAGAAGAAGCCACTTCTTCCACCACTGACGTAGAGTCCCCACCTGGGTTGAACTGTAGCAGACGTTATTTTCTGGAGTAAGTCCACTACGTAGCAGGACAAGATTAAAGGCGTTTTTTGTACATTGAATTAAGGCTAATATCCTTTAAAAAGCAGCTGTCCTCATAAAGTGGGCTAAAATGGATATGTGCCACATGGGCTAGTAATTGCACAATGTGCAATTGTGCAAGCCCAAGGTAAGATTTGGTCAGGACACTGAGGTTGACACCTCTACTCTTATGACCAATGCCACAAGATTGTCAGTAACCAAGTAGTCAGGATCTCACTTTATTGTCTTATCTTAAGGATGGCAGTTCTTATAGCAGCAATGCCGGTGCTCACCATTCTGGGGCATTTGTTTACAAATTCTGTGAGCGCCACCTAGTGGTCCACCAGCACCACCTACAGCAGCATCGTGGTACAGGTCTCCCATTCCTCCACTAACTAGGCCCAGCCTTGCATGCCTGACAAGATCGTTCTGCAATAGAATTACTTTAATCAAAGCCTTGACACAGAGGTTTTTTTCATGAGTGCTTCTTATATTTTGGATGTTTTACTCACAAAGCAAAAAATTGCAGCAAGGTAGTTTTCTTTCTCATAGCCTACTGATTATGGCTGATTACAGTTCAAAGTATTTGAAATGCAGATGTGAAGACATGCTCACACAAAGGACCTTTGAACACAGGCATGACTACACCCTCCCATATGACCGTAATAACCCCAAGTATTCACTTTCAATTCCCAATCAAATTATGCATGTCAAAAACCACAGTCCTGCCCAAATGACCAAGAAGGTGGACAAGATTAAATAATTGCCAGGCTCCAGATGTCAATGACACCATTTGAACATATTAATGGAAACTCTGGATAAAGCAATATGCTAACACACTAGACACATTGTTGAGCGCACAGTGGGGAGAGTTTCTTTTAAAAAGTATTCTTTAACAACTACAAGTTACCTATATAAGGGGTTACTTTCTAAAATGAACATCTGGGGGAGAGTAATTCAGTTGCAGTGATCTATGTGATAGGTGCATAGTTATTATGTGCATAACTATATAATCTTGTAAAATGCAATCCCCCCCCGCCCTTTAATTATTAATTTAAATAGTAATCTCTTACACAAGTAACTTGGAACGTAGTACTTTGTAAAAGTAACTTTTCTCAACACTGCAGACAAACTGTACATCTGCATTTGATATTTGTACTATGGTTGCAGAAGTATTTCTCACAATCACTGTTTCTGGTAGTGCTTCTATCCAGATGGTAGACTTCTGAATAACTGAAGGGTAACAAGAGCTACAGTATTTAGTGGTTTAAATATTGTAGTAGAGATTTCAGAGGCCAAATAAAAGCCTCTATCTGAAGCAGCTAAATTGTCCTGTGATTCCTACGCTTAATAGTTTCATTAATATTTCAGCTCAGTTTATCATTAGGGATTGAGACATTATTAACATTTTGAATATTATAAAAAAAAATTCAGAAGCTGTGCTTATGTTTCAAATGATAGCAGCCGATACCTTAAAGCTGTTTTATTTAACTTTTTTGGAAAGGGAGATATATCTTTGAGATTTCCAGTTCAACTGTCAAGAACAGTCTGGTCTTAAGACCAGATTGAATGACATCTGTGCTCACCAGGTAGCATGATTATCCTTGTTTCCTAGAGCAGTACACTATTTTTTCATAGTGCAGGCAGCACATTATCCTCATAGTGGAAAGTCCCTTATGCCATAAGTTAGCATCACCACATGTTAATAACTAACCTAAGCCCAATCCAGACGCTGAATGAAAGAGTTGGACTATTCTCAAAATATCCTGTGACTATGCAGTTTAGTAAATAAATCCAAGCCCAGAACAAGCCTGGAGTTGTTGGACATTTTGATTAAGAGTTGCCTGCAGCTTTCATGATTCATTTCCAGGAACAACAGTCCCTGTGGCTGTTTGAAAGCAACACAGGAAAATTTTAAAACAACCTGGAAAACAGAATACAGTACTGAAGTGTCATTGTATTTCATGAGGTAAATGGATATGTCAAAGGCATTTAATTACAAAATTTGCCTTTTGTACTCAAATCTAATTTACTTACAGTAGCTCTTACTCTATATGCATGTTGTCATACCTAAACATATTCTTTCATATGTCCTTGTTCAGTTATATTCAATTACTAGTCTGTTAAATTTAGTTACAATTCTATAGTTAAAAACATTTTCTCAAAAAGTAAAATAGCACGTACACTGAAATGTACCTTTACTTGTTTGGATAAAATGAAACAATCTACTGTAAATCTGGCTGTGAGGGTCTCACAAGAAAATATCTTTTTCATGGCCCCTGACACACGGGGGGCCGGAGCCTATCTTGCAAGGCAGACGCCAGTCCATCAGGGCACACAGAGACACAAACACACACACTGACACCAGGACCAGTTTTCCCAGAAGCCAGTTAACCTGCCATTGTGTCTTTGCACTGTGGGAGGAAACCAGAGCACCCAGAGGAACAGAGTCCCATCAGACAAGCCCCTCCCACAAGTAACCATTAGATCTGTTCATTCTTTAAATGATGGCCTGTGAATGAGCATAAAGCATAAAAAGGTTAGTGCCTATTACAGATGAACCATGATTCTCATTTACATAATTGCAAGCTTATAGGCACGCAACAAGCCACAAGAAAAATCACTGATCTACTAAAGATCATCCTAAAGATCATCAGTGCTCTGTAGGGCACTGTCACTTGGAGAATCCAGGTCACATTCAAGTGTTATGACCCAGGATGTGAATCAGTGACATCCAGTTAAAAGGGCTACACCTGATAATAATATACTTGTTAAATCAATTGGGAGCCTTTTTCTAATACTGACACTGAATGGGGGTTGTTTCTGGGGTTAGCATCTGCTGTTCATTTTGATAATGTTGTTTATTTGGAGTTAAAGTGATCTAGTGTGTGTTACTTCTCCATGTGAGAAATTCTTTCTTCATTTGGTTTCATTCAGCCTGATATTGCAGCCTGTTAATGTGAAACGTGTATCGCAAGGGTGCAAAGATAAGAGATCCTGCTCCAGCAAAGTGAATTATTTTTTAAAAATCAAGTATTTTCTCGCTTCTGTTTTGTAAAAAGAAGTTGGAAATACCTATAACCCACAACTGAATTCCTTTTTCTCCTGACAGGTGATTGCTCTTTAAAAAAGAGGTTATGATCTTGCTTTAGTCTTCTCCATGTGAGAAATTCTTTCTTCATTTGGTTTCATTCAGCCTGATATTGCAGCCTGTTAATGTGAAACGTGTATCGCAAGGGTGCAAAAATAAGAGATCCTGCTCCAGCAAAGTGAATTATTTTTCAAAAATCAAGTATTTTCTCGCTTCTGTTTTGTAAAAAGAAGTTGGAAATACCTATAACCCACAACTGAATTCCTTTTTCTCCTGACAGGTGATTGCTCTTTAAAAAAGAGGTTATGATCTTGCTTTAGTCTTACAAAATTGTTAGTGAGGCTTGAAGACCAGCACAGAAAAAAAATGTTTCATATGTTGTCACGTGACAACCAAAAATTAAGAACAAAGAATAAGCAGTGTCTAGATTATCCAGAACAAAAAGTGAAAAGAACATAGATTTTAATCTTTTATTTCTCTGTGGGGGAAGTTCCCAAGGATGTGGAGGGAAACTCATGTCTGAATGGAGTCTGATGTTCTTGAGTTTGCAGTCGGGTTTTCTTCACAATTAAAAGTAGACACAATACCATTTGTTAAGAAAATATCAAGCTTTCATATTTATAACAAAGAAACACACTATAAAAGGCTGTTGCACCTCCCTTTTATGTAAGTTTCAGTGTGGGTGTTTCTGAAACGTATTCCTTAATGGACAGCTTTTTCCACAAAATATTTAATAAACTGGTTTGTGGTAGAGATTTTAGTCTGGAGATTGTTCTGTCAACATATCAACATATATATAACAATATATATTTTCTGACATTGTGATTCCTTTTGAGGATCAAATTAATTTTGTAGCTTTGTAAGCTTTGAGAAGAGGTGCTTTGGAAATCCTTAGAAAATCTAAACTGCATACACTCCCAGCAAAACACAGGCAGAGATCATGCTGTAAGCACGAATCTTTCAGATTCAGAATGTTTAAGCTGTTTTTTAACTCTCAAAACTATTTTGCAACAGCTTTAAAGAAAATAATGACAGTCTAATTATTCTGATAAATATTGAATATACCGTTTGTCCATTTCCCATTAAATATGATTTTTAATGTTACTTTGACCATGGTCTAGGTACGCCGGAAAGTGATACAGTTTGTGAAATATGTCCAAATGGCTACTATTCGAGCAGACTATCAACAACTGAACAATGTACTAAACACACAAACTGCACAGACCTGGGGTTCAAGACATCTTCACCTGGTACTGCAACACAAGATGCTATATGTGAGAGTAATGGAAAAGGTGGAGCCACCCAATGTTTTCGTCACCACCTTCAATGTCACTCAGGTAAAATATATCGCCTATTCATCTTCAGTCTTTGACATTTGAGAATTTTTGCTTGTGTGACTGTATTTGATTTTTGACTGCTCATCTTAGAAACGGCGTCTCATTTTCTGTGACGTTTCTGACATCTTTGTTAATTCAAAACACTTTCTCTACAACAACAAATTACTTAAAGGGACGATTAAACTTCATTCTTGTTCACTGCCTTGTAAATACAACAGTATACTGTCCCACTGTGTGTAGTCTATTACATTCATCTACTAGTTACATTAATTATTAGTTTTCAATACATTTAATTATTTTTTACTCCTTTTTACTGAAACCTTGGGTGTTTTGGACTGAAATACTTACATCCTTACCCTTAATAGCCTTTTACCAATTCTTCCAGAGTGTGCACTAATAAATGCATGTTTATGATCAGATATTGGTCAACCAATGGAGTCCAGCTTCGAATACATGCTGAGGCATGCAGTCTGAGGTCACTTGTTCAAAGTTGTGCCACCCATCTTTGAATGAGAGGTGCATTAAGCCCTCAGTCTGAACTGTTTATGATACAGTCTGGCCAGGTTTCATTAATAATAATTAATAATTGCTTACACTTATATAGCGCTTTTCTGGACACTCCACTCAAAGTGCTTTACAGGTAATGGGGACACCCCTCCACCACCACTAATGTGTAGCATCCATCTGGATGATGCGACGGCAGCCATAGTGCGTCAGAACGCTCACCACACATCAGCTGTTAGTTGGGAGGAGAGCAGAGTAATGAAGCCAATTTATAGATGGAGATTATTAGGAGGCCATGATTAGTAAGGGCCAATGGGAAATTTGGCCAGGACCCCTACTCTTTTCAAGAAATACCCTGGGATTTTTAATGACCACAGAGAGTCAGGACCTCGGTTTTATGTCTCATCCGAAGGACGGTGCCTGTTTACAGTATAGCGTCCCCCTCACCATACTGGGGCATAAGGACCCACATGGACCGCAGGGTGAGCGGCCCACTAACACCTCTTCCAGCAGCAACCTTAGTTTGTCCCAGGAGGTCTCCCATTCAGGTACTGACCAGGCTCACACCTGCTTAGCTTCAGTGGGTTGCCTGTTGTGAGTTGCAGGGTAATATGGCTGCTGGCTAAGAGAAGTTCTGTTTCTTCTGCTTAAAGAAGCAGGATGTCAGGATACACATGTTTTGTATGCTCTCGTCAGCCCATTTGTGGTAATATCTGCACTGTAGGCCTTAGAGCTGATGAACTAATGCCAAGTCCATTTAGGGAATATAAACAGCAGATACAAAAATCAGGAGCCCAAAGCTTTCATGTTTATGTTATACCTTTGGGATTCTGATTGGTAGCAGTAAACATGTATAAAGTTCAAGGTAACAGCACTTTTAATGTTATCCTTTAGTATAATCTGATTATCAGCAGGCATTCATTTAATTGTATGTCATAAACCATTTTATATAGGAAACACTGACTTACAGAAGTGTAAGAGTACCCTATAATAATGCAAAATGAAAGTGTATTTTTTTAGATTTCAGAATGTTTAGAATGATTGTTTAATAAATGCAATAATAAATTTGACTATTTTATATATTCTTTTTATTTTCTCTTTAAGATATCACTCTATGTGAGGAGGCTATATTCCAGTTTATTGTATCCCAAGGGCTATCCTCTCTCCAGCTTGATTTATTGATTGAGAACTTGCCTGGGAAAAAAGTGGACAACAAAAAAATAGAAAAATTGAGGAAGACCTGCAGTCCCAAGCAACAGATTCTTCACCTGCTGAAACTGTGGGTGCAGCAGAACAAAGACCAAGATAGCATGTTTAGCATAATACAAGGTGAGTTTAATTTAAAGTACCCAATAAAGCATTCAATTTACAGTACATATCATGTTTGAATTTGCTTTGTAGGGAACCACTTGTACCTTGCAAGCAATGCCATCCAATCCACTTCAGCAAGAATATCTGATTGCAAGGTTGTCAGAAACATCAAGATTATCTTGTCACTGCTATGTAGAACATTGTGCTTTTTAAGTTTGGAGCCATCTACCAGAGTGAAGCAAAATACGGCATAAAGCATGTTGATACAATGTTAAATGTTATCTCACTTTAATGTATGAGAGGCTAGTGTTTTCCCTTTCAGTTTCAACAACTTTTCATGTTTTGATTAGACTGTTTTTTGCTTCCTAATTAGTGACATTGGAATGTCGTGGGATTGTTTTACAGAGAAAAACTCTGTTCTGTTCTCCAGAGAAGAGTAACTTTGTGACTTCAGTGAGTCAAAAAGTTAAAATATTTATTTTACTGACCCATTTGACTGATTATCTTATGTGTTTATTGATCCTTGGATCTTATCCTGTCATTTCTTGAAAGAAGCCAGAGAATTGGCTTTAAGGACATAGCCCGTTAACCTTCAGCAGTTTCGTATATTATCAACAGTGATGGGATTTCAAATAATTATATTAAATATTTTGTTGTACTTGTCTAAAATGTCATAAAATAATTTAAGCTTTTACATGTATTTAGTTATTTTACATGTATATGCAATATATGGAGAGACGAAGAAGAAAGAACAGATGCTAAAAACTAGTACCTTAAAACGTTTTAGAGCTACAAAACTAGACCAAACGTAAGTGTTTATTGAGAACGTTGGAATAGGGAGCTGCATAAACTGCATAAACTGCAGAGGAAGAGGTTAAAGGTTTATTCCAAGCTGAGAGGTAAAGAAAAGAAACACTTAGTGAGATAGAGAAAAGCTTAGATTTTAGTTTTGGTTGTTTTAATGTGGTTCTAAAAGAATACATACAGTAGGCCTGTTGAAATATAAACAATCTGACAATGGATCTACAGTTTCTTGCCATAGACAGACAGGACATTTTGATATCAGTTGGCTATCTGATGCACATACTCATTAATTTTGTTCTCTTCAGTATTTGGAAATTGCATGCTAGCCTTAAATGCTTTATTAATGAGAGGAGGCCACCTGGCCCATCTTGCTTGTTTCGAAGTTAGTTGCTAATTAATCCAAGGATTTTATCTAGTCGTTCCTTGAAAGAAGCCAGTTTATCATGGCTAGGCAGCTAGTTTCATACTTAAAAAACTCTATTTGCAAAGTAGTGCTTTCTATTCTCAGCTTTAAATTGGTCTGCCTTGTACTTTACACTAGTCCACTTTATGCATGACAAATGTCATCTACCATGTGGCTGATAGGTTGCAGTTTTTTTTTTCTTTTTGAATTTCCTTTGCTGCTTTGTGGCCATAGTTGTTTACAGTATTCTAAATGAGTTATATCCTAGTGTATTGTACAATTTTAACACAACATCTCTTAATTTAAATCCTACTGTTTTATTTATAGCTACAGTACATATCATTCGATTGCTTCCAAAGTTGTCTGGATAGAAAAAATAATGTCAAAATACACAACTAAGCTCGTCTCATAAGTATCTTATTCAAGCTCAGTTTCCCATTTTACATGTATATTTGCAGTTTTCACAGTGTGTTTTGCAATGCAATACTGTGACCATGTGTATTAAATAACATCTGACCATGTTTGCCCTTTCTTGAATTCAGTGTTAAATTGTCTTGAATTTCTTTTCTGCTTCTTCAGTTGTAAATAATAATAATATTAACAAATTACATTTATATAGCACTTTTCTGGACACTCCACTCAAAGAGCTTTACAGGTAACGAGAAGCACTCCACCACAAATGTGCAGCACTCACCTGGATGACGCAACAGTATCAGTGAGGAATAGAACAGAGTGATGAAACCACTTCATAGTTGCGGATTATTAGGAGGCCACGAATGATAAAGGCTAGTGGGAAATTTAACCAAGACACTGGGGTTACACCCCTGTTCTTTTAGTTTTTAGTTTTTAATGATCTCAGAGAGTCAGAACCTCGGTTTAACATTTCATCTGAAGGATTCCACCTTTTTTTACATAGTTTATAGTATCCCCATCACTATAGTGAGGCATTAGGACCCACACAGACCGCAGGATGACTGCTCCCTGGTGGTCCCAATAAGACCTCTTACAGTAATTTCCCAGGAGGTCTCCTATGCAGGTACTGACCAGACTCACACCTGCTTAGCTTTAATAGGCTGCCAGTTGAGATTAAGTAACTCAGGCAACCCAAACACACGCAATCTCTCTAGAGAGTAAATCGTGGGAAAATGTTGGTATTTAAGGTTACAGGGGAATTCCACCCATTCTTCTGAGATGCAGAACAGTTTTAATATTTTTCCCAAGATGACTTATTAGTTTAATGTCACACAATTCTGAGAATATCTGTGATTGTTTCAGAATATTTTTTCCTGTTTTGAGTATCATTCCCATGTTCTATTTGATAATGTTTGGTAATACTATGAATTAACCACTTTTATACAGTACAGTACGTGTTATGCTATAATACAGTACAAATTTACAATTAAAAGACATAATTTTGCTTATAAGATTCAAGGTCATGTTCCAACAGACATCAAAGAAAGAACAAACTGCAGCGTGCTCTCCATTCTCATTAGGAAATAACGTAACTTACAATTGCTCTCATTCTATTTATGAGAATAGATCCTTAAATCAGTAAATACCTTATAAAACATTGAAAATACTGTCATCCAATCTAATTATTTTGGTAGCAACACGGTATCATTGGTCACACCTTTAGGCTATCCTAATCACAGAAATGCAATAATGACTTTGGAATTATCTCTTGTCCTTTTAACTTTTCTCTTTAATTTATAATTCTCCTTTGTTTTATACTGTAGTTATTTTTTTGTTAATTAGTATACACTTCATATTGGAGAAAAAAAAAAACCTATGATAACCACAACTATGATATTGTGTTCTTTTTTGGTATTTCCTCCTAACAGATATTTGACTTTCTGTAATTTATGATTAATCATGTTGCTACAATGGCACCATGGCAGAAGAGTAAGCGCTATTCCTTCACAAGTCTTGGATCTTGTGTTTGATTCCTGCCTGGGGTGCCTTCTGTTTGCATGTTCTCCCAGGTGCCATATACGTTTTTCTCCAGATGCTGTCTTTGGAATGTGCTTCTCTAATGGATGGATGTTTGTGTATACCCTGCAATGGTTTGGGCATTGTCATGGATGTCGGAAGGGCATGCCATGGAATGACAAGGAGAGCAGAAGAGACCCTATGCATAGCGGTGAAAGGGGCAACACGGAGGTTAGCTCAGGCTCAGGGGGTCGGACAATGTCGGTTTAGAAACCTATGCCCTCACCCCATGGACGTGGGGTGACCTGGTACTAGGCTGGTCTCACGACATCCATACCCTCAATGCTGAGCCAGGAGCAGAGCAGACACAGGAAGTAAATAGGCTACACAACAAGACACTCCGGAAAGACATGAATAATCACAGGGAACTAGGAACAGGACAGAAGCAGAGCGCCCTCTAGGTGTACTGGGTGTGACAGGCATACTGTCTTGCTTTGAGTTCATTGTCTGTTGGGTTGAACTACTCACTGTAACCATATACAGTACAGTATAGGACTAAGTGGTTATTGAAGATTAAAATTACAACAACTTGTGTGCTTTTGTGTTTTATTGCAGGTGTAAATCATTGTGAGAGAGTGGTGTCTAGATGTGCCGGTTTTAGAAACCTGACACTGAGTCACTTGACTGCAGTAATGGACAGCCTGCCTGGAAACAAAGTGAAAGCAGAGGACATCAAACAGATCATGAGCACATGTGAATCAAAACAGTACATTCTTCAGCTCTTGCAACTTTGGAAGATGCAAAATGGGGACCAAGATATTGCCAAGGGACTTTCACAAAGCATCAGAAAACTAAGAAGGAAGAAAGTTCCAAAAAGGTTATTAAAAAGCATTAAAAAAATCATCAAGATCTTCAATACATCTTCTATACATAAGTTGTATGAAAAAATGTTTTTGGATATCATTCAGGGGAGCAAGTGTTTAAAATCCAAATCACTTAATGAATAAACACAGGGACATTATTTTTATCAGAAAAAGTACGAGTTATGTAAACTTATTTAAGAGTTGTATATAATCATCATTTTTTAATTATGCTTCCAAGTTTCTTTTCAGTTGGTGGATGGGTATACCATCAGGTTATTTGTGCTTCTTTTCAACATGGAATATATTTCAAAAAAGGTTTGTGCCTGTAAGAAAATGAAAAATCTCATGGAAATCTTAACAGCACTTCAACAGGTGTTACATTAATTGGAAAAAGTGGTGTTTCTTTCTAAAATACTGTATAGGGACAAAAAGGATCTCATTTAAAAAATGTCCTTTCTTTGAAAACTTACTGGGAAATAATTGGTCAGATACAATTTTTTAAATTTATTTAGCGCCTGATCAATGCACTGTGACTCTGTTTTAAAGAGTGATAATAAATTAACTAGCAGGCATCCTATCTTTTCAAAGAAAAACATTTAATACAACCCACACAACAGTTAGCAACAGCATACGTACATATTTGTTTTACAGCAAAGGTAAAAAAGTAAAAACCCCTGTTTCATTCAGTCACAGTAGCTGATCAACAGCTAATCTGTTCTGTCCATGTACTGTATCTAAGAGAGAACACCATTCTTAATAGAATGTATTCTCTAGTCTTCAGACACATGTGCCTAAAACTAATGTGAGCAAACCATTTTAGCCCCTTTGGTACCTGATGGAGCAAAGCATCAGAAGATAATAGCATAATTTTTTCTGCTATTCAAATTCTTACTTATTGCATTTCATATTCATGGTTGTTGTTTTTACCTATTCACTTTTCCATTCGAAATGGCCATTTTATCTGACCTTTCTGGCATGTGGTTTCTAAAACTATTTTTGTTGAGCTTTATAAGGAAAAGCTACTGTATGTTGGGAAATATCAGTGTTGCATCATTAACACTAAAGGTCAGAAAGGCGTGGTGCGTCATCACTTTTATAGTGAAACTCTTTGTTCTTGAACACTTAATTAGAATAGCAAATAATACCAGAAGGAAGAGCAACAGGCTATAATAATGAATTACATACTTAAGATATGATATAAGTTAATCAGTAAAATAAATATTATTTAGGTGGTTGTCCACGTCACAGAAAAATAGGAATTAAATGTTTTGTTTCTCCATTAATCAAAAAACTGAAATGGATTCATTATCATGGTACAAAATAAGCTTTATATTTTTTATTTTAATATGGAGGATTTTTAATGTCTAAATATCAATTGTGTTTTTACAAAGTATTTGTATTTAATTGGTTTAAATAATTATTTAAATATTTAATTTAATAGTCACCTACAGTAGACTACTGACAATTTTCTTTTGATGTTACTTGCCATTTTTAATTAAAAACTAGAACAATAGGTTACATTAAAAATTAGATGTGCCCAACTTTTTAGTAATTTATTTGCTTTGCATGTGAAGGGATAAGAGTATTCTACAATCGATAAATGAGGCTTATACAGTACCTTTTAATTTGCCATATAGTATTATACTCTAAAATTGCATTGCGTATGGCGCCAAAGAAAAAAGTGTTCTTTCAAACGTGACTGTCATATCTCTATGTTGATTTTTGTTGGTGTGGAAATGATAGACAAAAATGTGCTAGAAATTAAATGTAAATAATTTAAGACGTAATTTGAATACTTGTGGCACAGGTGGAAGGGCTTGTTAATTTTTCTCATCTTAAACACATGTATATATTCTTTTATATTGTTGTGACTGTGGGACATCTGAAATTCAGTGAGGTTTGTAGTTCTCATAAATCTTACCTTATTTTGATGATTTAAGACAACTGGTATTGCTTTGCTCTATATACACAGCTGTTCTTGAGTCATGAGGAAAGAATCAATCTTGGAGGATGATGACGGTAATCAAAAAGTGTTCCTAATAATTACCTCAAGTTAATTGAAGTCAATGTTAGATTGGTAAATCAGCAATTTTAAAACATAAATATTTACTGAGTAATTCCTAGTGAGGCCATTATGCCAGCTTCATTAGGAATGGGCCATAGTATAGATACAGTAGCAGAAAAAAAGGGAAGGAAAAGGGACCATCATCATTATCCATCATCCTCCTCTTCCTCCAAAGTATGTGCCGTGAGAGAACACCTCCTTGAAATTAGATATGAATCCAGATTCTGTCCAAATAATATGAATTCTGAGTACTGGGCCCTGAGGGATTTGGTTCTGGTAAGGATCTGTTTTGTTTATTAAGATGCAGGTTTTCTCTCTTTGTCCTGAAAGGTGTCTTATGTATTAAGATTATAAGGATAGAATTCTGGGCATTCTATGTCTATAGAAGGTAGGGCTCTAAAACTCACTGAATTGTAAATAGTGCATAGTGTAACCATTTGTTTATAGTGTAACTGGTGTATGTTGTGTAACTGTGTGTGTGTTATTTATCGTAATAAATATTTGTCTTGTCTAAATTTGGGCCTGATTGTTACTCTGTTGTCAAGCTGTACTAAAAACATAAAGTTTTTATTGTGTGTTTATTCTGGAGGAGGTCGAAGTTTAATGTTGCACTTCTGCTCCCCTCTGGATAAGGGCTCACTGGCTGCACACAGCACCGCTCACATCTTTCCTAGCACTTGGCATTTTGGTCTCGTCAGACCATGAGCTTCACACTCAGTGTCGCTAAGATCTTACCTTTATTGCGTTCAAGGAAGGTAAGATCTCGCTCAAACTCTCAAGCAGCTCCTGCCATGTGTCACGGACGTCCGAAGGGACTAACCGTGGGGAGCAGGAGAGCGGAAAAAGACCCATATGCGCAGCGGCGAGACAGGAAAAAGGCCCGGGCTCATTAGTGCAAAGAGTTCATGAATGCCGTATAGAAACCTATGCCCTCAGGGAGCGGACGTGGGGCGCCCTGGTGCTAGGCGGGTCTCAGGACATCCGAACATCAATGCTGAGCGAGGACAGAGTGCAAGA